CAGTATGATGCCCCTAGGTTCCCATACAGCCACAACTCTTGTGTGTATGGCTCCACCAAATCTAATCCACGTGACGGCATATTAAAACTACCAGAGTCACGTGACCAGACCCCATGAGTCACATAAGCATATCCTCCCCCCCCCCCCTCCTAGTGCCAACCCCATGAAGCCCCCATATATTTAAACACACTGTATTTAGGTCTGTGGTAGTTGTTGTTTGTATTGGAGCTACACAGATGAGATCCCACCTAAAGACAGGCAGGTACTGCGTGTGTTTAGGTCTGTGGTAGTTGTTGTTTGTATTGGAGCTACACAGATGAGATCCCACCTAAAGACAGGCAGGTACTGCGTGTGTTTAGGTCTGTGGTAGTTGTTGTTTGTATTGAAGCTACACAGATGAGATCCTACCTAAAGACAGGCAGGTACTGCGTGTGTTTAGGTCTGTGGTAGTTGTTGTTTGTATTGGAGCTACACAGATGAGATCCCACCTAAAGACAGGCAGGTACTGCGTGTGTTTAGGTCTGTGGTAGTTGTTGTTTGTATTGGAGCTACACAGATGAGATCCTACCTAAAGACAGGCAGGTACTGCGTGTGTTTAGGTCTGTGGTAGTTGTTGTTTGTATTGGAGCTACACAGATGAGATCCCACCTAAAGACAGGCAGGTACTGCGTGTGTTTAGGTCTGTGGTAGTTGTTGTTTGTATTGGAGCTACACAGATGAGATCCCACCTAAAGACAGGCAGGTACTGCGTGTGTTTACCAAGGCAGGGAGTGTCGCATACATTATTTCAATCAATACTAGGTCTGAAAGGGGAAGCTTTAAAAAACGACACCTTTTCAGTCGAGATTTTGAAAGTCTGTTTTCTATACAACAACACATTCATTTCCTGAAATAGCAAGCGTTAACATTTGTGTGTGTGTATGAGTGTGTGTGTGTGTGTGTGTATCGGGGGGAGGGGTTGAAGACGGGTGAGGTGTAAGCAACCTTTTTCCAAAAGGTATCAAATTTTCATCAACAGACGAACACACCACAGGACAGGTATTTTAAACTTGCAGAGATCCGGTTCGGGACTCTTTGTGTGTGTGTGTGTGTATGGGTGTTTGGGATATTGTTTGAGTCTGTGTGTGTATGTTTTGTTTATTATCAGGACTTTCTTAACTCAGTCGTATTGAGTGAGTAAAGAAGGTCCCGATAATAATTTAATTATGTTTTGTAACTGTTGAGGGTCCTTACAATATAACAGTTATATTTCTTAACATCTAAGATTATACTCAATTCGTAAAGTGTATTTTATTAAATAAATTACCAAAACCTTCATTTAGCAAGAGTAAACTTTAACAATAACAGTTACAAAACGTTGCCACATTTTTCACATTGATTTAAAAAAAAAACAACAACAATATTTAGTAAGTAAAATGCTACACACTGAAAAATAATATTTTCTACATTAATTTCCAAAAGCAAATGTGTACTAATCTATCACAGCAAGAACTATCTTCGCCGAAACAGTTTAGCCAACGACCTAATGTTATTTCGTTTGTAATTCGGTTACTAAGCCAATATGGCAACCCTGCCTCGAACCTAAATGTTAATTCATCCCAGGCTTTTGGTCGTGTGCCAGATAAGGTCAAATCAATACATACAACAAGTGGGCCGATCCTGTCCGTTTTTAGGCTGACCTTGTTTTTATTTTATCAAGCGAGCGAGTAACAAATGACTTCCTCGTGTGATCGAGGCAGTGACGAGATTCTGGAAACTTCTGAGTGCCGGGCTGTTCCCCGCCCCTCTCTCCACACAGACCCCGCCCATGCTACTACAATGAGTCAGACAGTTGTTCAGTAGACTCTGACGTCACTTCTACTAACAGATCAAACATCACGTGACCTGCCACCATTACCAACCAACCATCAGACGTCCTCTTCAGTTTCTAGCGAGACCTCTAGAATAATGTCAATAAACAGAGTAAAAATTGTTTTCACCTTGCTATCCAGGCAAAAAGTTTATGTCTTAGATCTGGCAAACACGTGATATGTTTTAGGAGCTACTTCCCCTGCCCCAAGGGAAGTAAATAAAACCAAAATTTAACTTGCTAATTTTCTAACACCTCCTCCCTTCCCCGTCTCAATTACTTAATCACGCACTCGCTAACACGGCTGTATGCAGCTAATACACGGACTGCTTTACGTCAAGGAGGTCGGTAGGTCTAGAAGTCTAGATCTATGTAGTGAAGGAAGTAACAGTGCGAGAACCCAGTGGCGTCAATATATCGGGCGTTAAGCGATGCGGTAAGTGAGGGTGTCACCCCACCCCCTCAACAACTTTTCATATTCCGTTTCGTCTCACCCCCTCCTCCTGCTATTTTTAAAAATTTATCTGGGTAAAACAATGTCTACTTGCCTGTAACCACTCACTGAACATCTTTAGAACCATGTGTACAATTTTAGAACCACTGTAAAACCTATAGAACTGTGTGGCCAGATGTTAACGTTGGTAGACAGTTACCAATGACAGTTACCAATGACAGTTACCAATGACAGTTACCAATGACAGTTACCAATGACAGTTACCAATGACAGTTACCAATGACGGTTACCAATGACAGTTACCAATGACGGTTACCAATGACAGTTACCAATGACAGTTACCAATGACAGTTACCAATGACGGTTACCAATGACTGTGGTCGATACGCCTCTGAAAACCTTGAAATTGTCGACACAACCACGGTGTAACTTGTACCTAGAGAGGTGAGTGTAATAAAGTACAAGCATGGTGTATGGAGACTGGCAAACATACGGCACAAAAATATATCACGAAGTACATTTCTATTAGAGCCTAAATAATGAAAACAAATAACCAGTGCCGCTAATGTGTTCCGGGTGCGGATCATGCCCCCCCCCCCACATTTTATTTATTCCTCCCACCTTCCGTACCTGCATAGTCAGGTGTAGACCGTGTCGTTACACCTTTCGCTCACACCTTGATCAGGTTCAATGCTGTAGGCGCTCTCTCTTGTTCTCTGGGTAGACGGTGCTAGACTGTGGCCTGGATCTAGTGTTCCACATAACACTTCGGATAGCATCAAAATCTACATCGGTACGAGATATCAATGTGACTTATGCCTACAGGAAACAGACTTCATGAATGGTCTGATAGACATACTTAATAGACGTTTACTGTTTACATTCATAAAGTCTGTTTGAAATAGAAGGACGTCATCTAACGTCTGCAGTAAACAGACGTCAAGTAAATCTGCAGTAGACAGATGTGAAAAAATACCGTGAGTGTCCAGCTAATACAGGTGACACTGTTATCTCTGGTCACCTGGAGGTGTCAGGGAATTCTGGGATACTTGACCTGCTGACCCAGATGCAGTTTATCTATATTGTATTCAGCGGGTCACGTGAGTCGTACATTCCCACCTCGGCTATAACCAACACCAAGTCACCACCAACTCACTAACAAATCACCAACAAATCACCAATAAATCACCAACAAATCACCAACAAATCACCAACAAATCACCAACAAATCACCACCAAGTCACCACCAAGTCACCACCAAGTCACGAACAAGTCACCACTAAGTCAAAGTCACCACTAGTCACCACCAAGTCACCACCAAGTCACCACCAAGTCACCACTAGTCACCACCAAGTCACCGCCAGTCACCACCAAGTCACCACCAAGTCACCACCAAGTCACCACCAAGTCACCACCAAGTCACCACCAAGTCACCACCAAGTCACCACCAAGTCACCACCAAGTCACCACTAGTCACCACCAAGTCACCGCCAGTCACCACCAAGTCACCACCAAGTCACCACCAAGTCACCACCAAGTCACCACCAAGTCACCACCAAGTCACCACCAAGTCACCACCAAGTCACCACCAAGTCACCACTAGTCACCACCAAGTCACCGCCAGTCACCACCAAGTCACCACCAAGTCACCACCAAGTCACCACCAAGTCACCACCAAGTCACCACCAAGTCACCACCAAGTCACCACTAGTCACCACCAAGTCACCGCCAGTCACCACCAAGTCACCACCAAGTCACCACCAAGTCACCGCCAGTCACCACCAAGTCACCACCAAGTCACCACTAAGTCTCCACTAAGTCACCACTAAGTCACTACCACCAACATTGTAATCCCATCACTCACGATCAGTGCATGAACTGACCTACTGGCCACCACCAACACTCTAACCAACACGACCACGCCTGCTCCAATCTCTCACCATCTCTCACCAGTGACATGTCGGGAAGGGGGGGGAGCAATGATGAAAGTCTAGATCTTGACCCTACACGTTGGAAGAACATTTTTAGTACAATATCCAAGTTTTAAACAACATTAGGAAAATAGAAAATTTTGACAAGCGTTTCACAGGCATGATTCACATGAGGTTAATCAACAGAATTTATATATATATATATATATATATATATATATATATATATATATATATATATATATATATATATATATATATATGTATGTATATATATATATATATACATATATATATATATATATATATATATATATATATATATATATATATATATATATATATTTAAATATATCACTTTGTATAAGACACACAGTAAACTATTGTATCTAAATATATAATTTTTATAGGACACACAGTCAACACATCTAAATATACTACTTTGAATGAAACACACACAATGAACAGATTGTATCTAAATACATCATTTTTTAATAAAACCCGAGTTTTATGTAAATTGTGCCAAAATGTATCACCTATATAAATCACAACATGACCAACATGTTGGTAAGTTGATTGTGTCTAAACGTATCACTCTGTAAGCAACACTCCACAAGCTCAGTCGTCTGCTTTATATCTAAATATTGCAGGTTACGTTCGAGCGTTTATTAATGATATTTTTAAGTGCTGCCCGCCTTTTCAGCCCCTCCCAAGATTATAAGGGCAGACAAGCGGCGAGCAGACGACGCGCTCTCTTCTGCTTACACAATCAGCGATTCATTCCCTCCCCTTAGCGGGCCATTCATTCCCTCCCTTTACAGCGGGCTCTACAGTTTATACAATCTGCACCCACGGTTCGTCTAACGGTGGAGAAAAAGTAAAAGTCACCCACAAATCAGGACGGAGTTTACGTTTGGTGCTTTCAGTTTCTGACCAGCACGGGTCTACTGTGGTCATCATGGCCTGGACTTGTTTTTTAGTTTTTTTCATGCTTGGATTTTTCCCCGCTCAATCTCAGGGTAAGTTGCTGCATTTAGAATATCTCTAAAACTTAACCACTGGTCAGCTTGCAATCCTGTATTAGGTACAATCCAATAATAAGTAGGACCGACAACTCGGCGATAGGATGGGTCTACAACCCTGTTTATAAACACGCCCATCCCTGCAACCCTATTTAGTATTTAACCTTAAATTAAGTTAATTAGCTGCCTCAAGACCTAAAAAAGTAAGGATTGGCCAGAACAATTTGTTATATATTTTTTCCAGTCCTAAATTCAAATCTTTAAAACCTAAACAACTAGCTGGACTAGTGTGTTGATCCCTTCAAATATAACAAAGGTTTACTGCAGCAACTGACTCCACAACTCAGCTATTACAGGGTGGCGAGTTAACTCCCTTGCTGCATCGATCGTTAGGTCACATATGTTGATTCATTGTGCTCACACAAAGAGCTTGACACACACACACACAGAGAAGGGGACGGTACTCGGTGTGTTAAATAAAATTAACATATTGCGCTTGTGTTAACTTAAAAGCTGGCTGTAACAAAGACTTATTTTAGGAATAAAATGTATTGTAGGTTTTATTTAACAATTTATAGATGCACGTGATTCATTTTCAAAGATATTCTCAGCTCTCTCTCTCCTCCCCTTAAATAATAAATAATTCACAAAACGTTTAACTATTATGTCTTGTAATTGAAATTTTACCAATTTAGTATTGAAAGGAAGCGAAACAGAAAAAAATAAAAATAAAAACATTGTAGTCGTAAAATAAAATAAATAAATAAATAAACATGGTAAATACACACAAACACACAGGTCAACACACAGACCAACAAAAAACCAACTGACTCATCGACCTAAAACACACAGTAGAACACACTGACTACAATACACAATGAGTCTACACACTCAACACACCCACAGTACACTACACGCAATATAATACAGGATAACACACTCAATACAACACACATACACACTTCTTCAACATACTCAATATAACACACATGATAACACACTCAATACAACAACACACTTTACCACACTCAATTCAGCACACACAATACTACATTCGCAGGATAACACAATACAACACACCCACAATACACTACACACAATACAACACACAGGATAACACGCAATACAACACACACACACAGTACTACGTACACACACCACAACACGACATAGCACAAGTATTCCAACACACAATAAACAAACAAAAATAAAGATCGCCAACAACTTCTTTAACTTCCCTGTGTTTACGACTAAAATAGATCACGATAAACCCATAACATAGACACTTAAAACGTGATGGCTATGTACTATAATAAAATCGTTTAATTGTTCTGTTTATGTTATTTGACCTGCCATAAAGCAAATCCAAACATCCACTAGTCTAAAAATAAAATGTTTTTGTGTGTGACAAAACTGGTTTTCTGTGGATTGAGCGCGCAATGACGTAGTAAAGTACATCATGACGTCATAACTTTACGGCACGCCCTGGTGTCATAACAAACGTGAGTCGTGTGGTCAGGTTGTTCAGGTCAGGCTGACCCGGTCAGAATAGCTTTTAGCTTTAACTTTCCATCATGGGAACCCCATATAACGTTGTATACCTTATATAACGTGGGTAACCATCAAACTCGGGTACCTCATATGGACGGTAACACTTCGTATTTCCATACATTGTGTTAGTGGCGTGTCTTTTCCCGATATGTTTTCCCGATATTTTTTCCCGATATGTTTTCCCGATATGTTTTCCCGATATGTCCGTCTTCCCCCCCCCCCCCCCCCGATATGTTTTTCCGATATGGTTTCCCGATGTTTTTCAGATACGGCTCTACACAAACTCCTACAATGCTTTATACCGCTTAGTTGGTATGCCCCTTCCCTCCCTCCCCTCCACCCAAACAGTTTGTATGTGCCTACAACTATGAGTATGTTCTCATCCCCTCACTCTCTCCCCCTATAGAACTACTATTGTTACTAGCGACTTTTGAAGGAAAAGAGGGTGCGGTGTGGCGGCACGGCTGACCAATTGATGCTAAAAATATACTCACTACTCACACTTTCGGTGAACGCACCGCTCTACGTGTCTAAAAATAGATATTAGCTAAAAGCTAAAAATAGATTATAATTAATCCACGCACGGCGATACAGAAAATAAAAATACCCAGTCTTATACATGGTGGGAGACATTAATCAAACATGATGAGTAATTAACACGTTGAAAAGTCATACCCTAAACCTAAATCTAATCCTAATCTTTGGGTAAGCGAAAGTTTAAACATAACCTTAATCTATGTGCTCTACCAAACAAAACAATACCGTAAAATTAGTAATAAGTGATCTGACTTGTGTACAAGTTATCTCAACAAACATGTGAATAAATCTGATGATATGGCCAGATTTTTCTGCACGTTTGATCTTGGAAATTATTTTAGAGTTGGCTATGTCTGATGTAAGGACTACTTATATGTATTTTTATATGTATTTTTATCACAACGCTATTACACACCCAAGTAGCTTGTGTGATGTATTGTGCTACAACACTTGTCTATGTCGCCAAGTAGTCTGCACCAAGCGGGTGGGTGAGGGGGTCGGGTGGTGGGGGTCTCCACTTAACACTCAAGTGCTGCTTACGAGTCATCACTTTTATCACTTACATGTAGCACCCACACGTCCTTTACGTTTGTATCATGTGACCACTTGCAGTGTTATAGTAATAACATCACCACAGTAATAACATCATGATAGTCACAACATCACCACAGTAATAACATCATGATAGTCACAACATCACCACAGTAATAACATCATGATAGTCACAACATCACCACAGTAATAACATCATGATAGTCACAACATCACCACAGTAATAACATCATGATAGTCACAACATCACCACAGTAATAACATCATAATTGTCACAACATCACCACAGTAACAACATCACCACAGTAACAAGATCAGCACAGTAACAACATCATCACAGTAACAACATCACCACAGTAATACCATTAACACAGTAATAACATCATGATAGTCACAACATCACCACAGTAACAACATCACCACAGTAACAACATCAGCACAGTAACAACATCATCACAGTAACAACATCATCACAGTAACAATATCATCATAGTAACAACATCACCACAGTAACAAGATCAGCACAGTAACAACATCATCACAGTAACAACATCAGCACAGTAACAACATCACCACAGTAACAACATCAGCACAGTAACAACATCATCACAGTAACAACATCAGCACAGTAACAACATCATCACAGTAACAACATCAGCATAGTAACAACATCACCACAGTAACAAGATCAGCACAGTAAAACTACCACCACAGTAACAACATCAGCACAGTAAAACTACCACCACAGTAACAACATCAGCACAGTAAAACTACCACCACAGTAACAACATCAGCAAAATAAAACTACCACCACAGTAACAACATCAGCACAGTAAAACTACCACCACAGTAACAACATCAGCAAAATAAAACTACCACCACAGTAACAACATCAGCACAGTAAAACTACCACCACAGTAACAACATCAGCAAAATAAAACTACCACCACAGTAACAACATCAGCACAGTAAAACTACCACCACAGTAACAACATCAGCAAAATAAAACTACCACCACAGTAACAACATCAGCACAGTAAAACTACCACCACAGTAACAACATCAGCACAGTAAAACTACCATCACAGTAACAACATCACCACAGTAACAACATCACCACAGTAACAACATCACCACAGTAACAACATCACCACAGTAACAACATCACCACAGTAACAACATCACCACAGCAACAACATCAGCACAGTAAAACTACCACCACAGCAACAACATTAGCACAGTGTAATCTTAAGTTCTATAACTCTAAATATTTTTTGGATAGGTCTTTCTGTTCAATTGCTTGGTTTTTCTAGTACACAGCTTTGACAATGGACTAATGCAGGGGAATAATAGTTGAATGAAATAGTGGAGGGGTTGGGGACGGCATGCTGATGAGTCTTGTCGTGGCGTGCCCCTTAAACGATAAGTCTTGTCATTGCGTGCCCCTTAAATGGTTACAAAAACAATGGCAGCTACAGCCAATCATTCCGAGCGGGCTTTTGCGTTGCCATGACAACCCATAAACAACACAAACAAGCTTCAACTCAGCCGTAAATTGCTTTCTTTTTTTCCCTCTCCATCACCAGATCAGGTTCCTAACACAACAACCGAAAACTTTTTTTTCTCTCCAGCTCACGGAGCCGGAGAACTGGGAGCCGTAAACAACAGCTGCTGTCTCTCTCAGTCCCCTACCCGTGGAGCCCCGCTTGTTGAAAGCTAGTCATGCGTGTGAGATGGTGGGGGTGGGGCGTGGGGGGCGTTAGGGGGTGTGTCAGTTACATCATGTGCATGCACTTAGTTGTGTCAGCCGGGTGGAAATGGCGTCTAAGTGTTGCTATGGTAGCCACGTGTCTTTTCTTGTGGCTACATGTGCTGTAGCCGTCACGTGTTCATGGTAGCCCTAGTTGTTTTTTCTCTCCACCAGCTAATGTTACTGTACGTGTGTCGCCGTCTATGGTTTGTTGCCGATTTGGTATTTGGTTATAAAATGGCTGTACAAAACAGTCTATACTATGCTGTAACATTTTTTTTTCAAAATGGCTGTACCATACTGTCTATACAATGCTATAAGAATTTAACGTCACAATTATCATCTTGCCATCCTTTAGCTCTAGACTGTATATACTATGCTGTTAGAATTTACCGGCACAGTTCCCATCTAGCACCAGTCAGCCATGTCTAGCCACACCACGTGACAGCTTGTTGTCTTTCACTAAGGATGTGATGCGCATGCGTAAAAAGGTTGATGATTGTCTGCAGGAGTTAAAGGCATCAAATTTCCCCAAAAAACTCGACAGTTTCCTGCTAGAGTCCTGCCATTTGATTTACCCCAGCAGATTCTCCCAAAAACATCGCAC